ACAACAAGATCAAGTTGCGACAACGAGATCAACCCACTTCCATGTGAAGTGAGGTTTGGAGAAAGAGATTCAACACTAATATGCTGGCGAAATATCTGGTATGTGCCAAGTCTCACATCTTTCCGTTTGAGAATGTACCAAGTCCACCGTCTGACGCTGGGAGTCATGACAACTATTGTTCAGCTTACTTCCATTTTGAGTGAAAGTGTTGGGTGAGTTTTCTTAACTCTTTTGCTTGGATTTTGTTGTGACGATGTTATCTCGCTGGGATGATGTTCGTCACATGACGGACGAAAGTTTAGCACTTTTTCACCGGAATCGAAGGAGATTGTCTTGGAAACAGCGTCAGCATGAATCTTCCAGTAAAGCCAACCGACAGCTGATCAAGAGGAATCTGCTTTCGTCTTCTGGTGAAACCGACCTTCGAATCTCTTCACCCAACACTTTCACTCAAAATGAAAGTAAACCCAACAATTATGAAACGAGAAATTCCTCCATTCGCATATTCTCATGACAACTACTCTGGCAGACGACTTCGGACTAGGTGTGCTCTACATAGTCGCCCTGACAACAAGACCAAGTTGCGACAACGAGATCAACCCACTTGTATGCATCGAAAGGCGACCTCGACCATACCAGAGGCGACAACATTTTGGGCTTTATATCTTCAGTAAAAATAAGTAAACTTTTCGCTTTCCTCGTCAATGACAACTTTGTTTTATCAACAATCTCACTTTGGATGTTGTAAAATTTATGGTCACTTTTACAATTCACACCTGCTCTCTCGTCCACAGCACCGGTGGCCGTCTGGCGTAGTGATTTATGTGTTGAACTGGTAGGCTGCACCACAGCGCTGCGAGTCCGAGTCGCGCCGGTGTGCTGATGAAACCGGCTGATGAGATGCCACATCGGGTCCAGGTGTGCGGAGGAAAACGGCTTTCGGGCAGCAAGTTTGTGTCAACATGAGCCACAATTTACGGCTTTTTGGCAAAAGTGCAAAAAAATACCATCTACCAGTCCTCGCCTCAGCACCTAATCCGACCGAAGCGGCTCCTATTCAAGATCTGTTGCCAGGCTTGAACAAGTCCCCTCCAACATGAGTACCAATTAGTTAGTCACGAGAGCGACATGCGTCGAGAACGACCTCCAAGTAGACAACTTTTTGCCCCATTTCCTACACCATTCTTCCTCGAATCAAGTCCCGCTTCCGATGAGTCGTCGAGCTGATCGGCCCTCTTTGGAAGAGACCAAGCAGGCAGACATACAGACAGACAGACAGACAGACATACAGACAGACAAATAGAAATATGGATATGCGTAAAATGTGTTGAATTCTATTTCATTTAAGCAGAACACGCAAGTGGTAAATGAATTTTCCCACAATTAATTGCATTTACTTTCACATTTCTTTGCTCCCCGCTCGAGTCGACTGCAGATTTGACCTCGCCTTAACTGGTCGCATCAGCAGCCCCGGCGGGACTCGAACCATGGCCGTGCAGGGTGCAATCTCGACATGCTAACCACTACGACAGACTGTCGATAGTGCTCTTTGGTCGCGGGGCAGACGGGAACTTCAAGAAGAGGTAGACATTTTTCCCGCGGTCGAGTGGTGTTGTCGGTGAAGCAAACTAATACTTGCCATGGCAACC